TTGTGGTCAATGGCTCAATGTCCAAGTGGAGACCGGTGACAAGTGGCGTTCTGCAGGGGTTGGTACTGGGACCAGTGTTGTTTAACATCTTTGTTGGAGACATGGACAGTGGGATGGAGTGCACCCTCAGCAAGTTTGCCCATGACACCAAGCTGTGTGGTGCAGTTAACCTGCTGGAAGGAAGGGATGCCATCCAGAGGGATCTGGACAGGCTTACAGAGGTGGGCCAATGCAAACCTCATGAAATTTAACAAGGCCAAGTGCAAGGTCCTGCATGTGGGTTGAGGAAATCTCAAGCACAAATACAGGCTGGGTGGAGAATGGTTTGAGAGCAGTTCTGAGGAGAAGGACTTGGGGGTGTTGGTTGATGAGAAGCTGAACATGAGCCGGCAGTGTGCGCTTGCAGACCAGAAAGCGAAGCGTGTCTTGGACTACATCAAAACAAACATTAGCAAGAGGTCGAAGTACGAGATTCTCCCCGTCTACTCTGCTCTCATGAGACCCCACCTGGAGTACTGCGTCCAGCTCTGGGGCCCCCAACATAAAAAAGACCTGGACCTTTTGGAGCGAGTCCAGAGGAGATCCACAAAACTGGTCAGAGGGCTGGAGCACCTCCCCTACTGAGGACAGGCTGAGAGAGTTGGGGTTGTTCAGCCTGGAGAAAAGAAGGCTCCAAGGAGACCTAATAGCAGCCTTCCAGTACCTAAAGGGGGCCTACAGGAGAGATGGGGAGGCACTCTTTATCAGGGAGTGTAGTGAGAGGACAAGGTGTAATGGTTATAAGCTGAAAGAGGGTAGATTTAGACTAGATACTAGGAAGAAATTTTTCACTGTGAGGGTGGTGAGACACTGGAACAGGTTGCCCAAATAAGTTGTGGATGCCCCATCCCTGGAGGTGTTCAAGGCCAGGTTGGATGAGGCTTTGAGCAACCTCATCTAGTGCGGGGTGTCCCTGCCCATGGCAGGGGGGGTGGAACTCGATGATCTTTAAGGTCCCTTCCAACCGAAACCATTCTATGATTCTATGATTTATGTCAAAATGGTCTAGAAAAATATTTGCAAACTGGCTTAAAACTAAACTGCCAAGAGCACAACCATTGCTTACATGCAGACATCTTTAGTCATGAGAGACAGAACCATATGTCCTGGAAGAGAAGTGAGAAAGCCTTATTCAAATTTCAAGACAACATTGTTTACAATAGCAAAATATTATTAAGTTGAATTATGTGAGTTTAATAACATTTCTGACCATGTTGCCTAAATTACTGCCCTGGATTTATTTAAAAAGTCCTTGATTTGTAGTGATTATTTCAATGAAAGCTTGTGGAACAGAACTCCAGCATGCTACTCTGTGTTTAATTTATTCATAATTTATTCCAATTAATAATTCAATTTAATGTAACTGAATTCATAGTTAGCCTCGACATCTATGCCACTTAATTGGGCACAAAAGAAAATTAGTAAAGCTGACTGCACTGATTTTTACAGGGCAAATTACTAATGATGTATTACTTTTTAAAAATAGGAAAACAAAGAATGATAATTTTCATATTCTGACAAGGTGTATTTAGAAATCATTAAGTTCCACATTAAAACAGATGTTTAGGGAGCAAGCTGAACTGATATGTAATTTAAATGCAGATCAGATGAACAAAGCTATTCAAAGTTGTAAAACAGCAAACCTTTTGAGCTCCTCTTGTATCTTTCAATGCACTTATTAATTCTTCTAAACTTTTCAGTTTCAACTCCATCTGTAATGCTCTGTTTTCCGCATTTCGACGCTCCTGCTGGGCATTCTGAACTTCTTCCAGGATCTTCAATTTGTCATTCTGTAGCTGAATCATTGTTTTAGAGAATTTTTCTTGCTGTGCTAAAGGCAGAGCACCACTGAACTGCTGCCGCAAAGACTGAACTGTCTGTTGAAGATGTTTGGCTCTATTCCTTCCTTCCAGTCGGGCAAAATATAAGGCTTGCTCTCTCTCATCAAGCTTCTGCTCTAAACGTAGATTATGGATCTCCATCTGCCGTAGTTTCAATTCAAGTGTCTCCAGTTTGCCTGCAGCAACAGATTCACTACCTTGAAGGGCTACGATCTGTTGATGCAGTTTTGCAATAACTGCTTTTTCATCTGACTGTGCCTAAGAACAAAATATATAGAACAAATTTATTTTTCATTTTTAATACGTTAATGTAGTGTATATGTAAATATAGACAAGATATTAATTTTTGTACTTTATATATTGCATGTATTTTATTCCATTGATAAGAGCAAGAATTAGCCTCTAAAAAGAGCTTTTGATTTTTCCACTATTGTTTCTACAGTCACATTTTAGAAGTACACCTTTTCAGATACTGATCTTAAAAAAACTGTATCTTTCAAAAATACAGGAAATAAGGAAGAAATGTATACCTAAACTTAGAAAATATGGTAATGTAAAAGCTGACAAAATTGCTGTGTTTAGGGACTAAAACCATGCTAGAGCATATAAACAAATCCAAATAAATTGTTTTGGCTAATTACAAAGCAATACAATAAGTTTATACTGCAAATCTTTGCAAGTTATTGCTTGTCTTGTAAAAAAATAATCAAACTTTCCTGGTATTATAATTAAATATTGACCACGAGCTATTAATAAAATAACAATAATAAATATTACCTAAATAACATGGGGAAAAGCTCAGGATTTTTAATAGCTGTACAGCTAGAAATGGAGAAGGGAACAGTTACTGTAATATATAACTCTTGAACAGCTATAGCCACTACAAGGACCAGCTTACTAAGATCCTTCTGAAATGCTTTTGTAGTTTCCTAACTCACTGTAAAATTACTTAATTTCTCCTCACTCCAGGGAAAAAAAATCCAAACTGCAGTATGATTAAAGTTGAATTTTACCTGATAATCTAAAATCTGCATTCTAAGACATTCTACTTCTTTATCTCTGTATTGCTGGCGTGCCTCCAGAGCGTCAACTTGCATTTTTGCTACATCAGACAGTTCTCTTAACCTTGCAGGGAAAAAGAGAGTATTGTGTCTTTTGAAACCACTGAATAACTTGTTAAGTTTTTCTACAGAGATGATAAGAAAAGATGCTTAGTATGTTTCCTTGTATCAAAACCTTTGAAGATGTTGCTCTTTTCAGCATACTCTTCTCAACTACTCAGAGTCCTTGTCATGAAAATTTTTCTGTACTGCCTCTTAACCTTTTCACAGGACATTTTCCTGCAAGTTATACAGAAGTTTGCTAGCAGTAACCTACTCCAGGAAAACAATGACATGGTTTTAACCTGAACTAAGCATCTCTATTTCTCTCCCCCTTCAGGACATAAATACTCAAAAAAGTTTCATTCTCAGTTCCATTCTCTGCTTCCCCAAGTCTCATAACTCATTTTCAGTGTTAAAAATCACTGCAAATATCCCCACAGACTTTGCTGTTTTAGGAATATAACAGAATTACATTATTTACTCAAAGACAAATGTCCATATCAACATCTCTAAAGAGCTCAGTTTTTCAATTTATGCATAAAAAGTTAATCTGGTTTAAGTAAATGGTAACCCTCACCTCCACTGCAGTTTAATCTTTGAGATACCTATAACTCTTTGAAAGTAAGAATTGCTTTCCAATTTCTTTTGTGAGATTTTCATACATTTAAGGGAGATCATGGCACAGAAACAAAATAAACCTTAATTAATTAGTTTAAAAATACTAGTAATACTAGTAATAAGTATCTAAGTGCACACTTACCCCTGTCTATCCAGACATTATAGTCATCAATTAAATGCTTCATTTTCAATTCCAAATTTGGCATATATAAATGCCAAAAAAATTAGGCATTGAAAATTATCTGTTTGTAATGCATAAGTAGTATATTACATAAGCCCTATATAGCCTAAATTTTTGCATGCTTCCGAACATACTGCATTTGAAATATTTTACCTCAACACTTACTTTGATACTTCGGTCTTGAGCTCCATCTCACGCTTCTCTAGGTCCATGATTTGTCGTCTATCTGCATCACTTACTGCCTTACTTACACTCTTTGACAGTTCATCTCTTAATTCCTGTTCTACTTTCTGTGCTTCAAGGTTGATTTTGGTGAGCTTAAAAAAAGAAAAAAGAAACAAACAAAATGGTATCCTAAGGACACAACTGCTCCCAACCCTGCAAAAAAAAAAAAAAAGAAGTGACAAAATTATACTTTCTTTTTTAGTCATTACAAAACAGTGCTCAGCTGTGTTCAAAAATCAGCTTCCTTTCTTCTCTGCTTAAATGTCTTTTTGTTTCCAGTAATGCATATACATAGGAACAGATACACAGGTCAGCATAGAACATGATTCTAAATCAAACACAATTTCTATTAGTGAATTTTCTTAAAACCATTACTGCAAAAACTCGGTCTAAAATGAAAATCGGGAGAAGTCATTAATTACCTTAGCACAATCTTGTCACATATATATTTATATACATATCTATATCTATCTCTCTAAAAAAATGTAATGATGACAGATTATGAGGCACTGACAACACAAGTATACGAAGCAAAACATGTATCTTGGAGCCACAGAGATGAGGAAGAAAGGGATGCACAGAGGAACTAATAAGAAAAAAATTGTGGCATCAGGAGTTCATCAACTCAAAATGAAGGGAGACCAACAGACCTAAGTGTATTGCAAGGCAGATAATAACATATGCAAAAGAGAAAAAGGGAAATGTGATCCTAGGGTGCATCATCTGAGGTATTTCTTAATTAAATAAAAGAAGTCATACCATCAGAACAGACTTTAACAATACAGCTGCTGAAAAGCTTTTTTTGTATAAAGCAATTTCAATGTCCCAAATTACTTCAAATCAAAACAGTGTAACAAACACTATCGAAACAACAGACAAATGGGGAGTCCAGCTAACTGAAATCTAAAATAGCTAGGCTAACACCCAGCAAAGCACAACGAAGGGGAATGACTACAATATATCAACATTCCTGTCAACGTAAGTGTTCTTCTTCCTTTCTGTTTAAATTACAGGCCAATACTGGCACAAGAACAAATGTGTACCAACAGCTGACAAATAAATTTAGACTGTAAATTATAATAAAGTCTCCAATGATATGACAGGAATACTAAGGATCATGAGCTTCAATGGCACAACTTCTATTCCTGTATTATAGATAATGTTTGGCATGTGACAGAGGACATAGCCTGTCTGTAACGCAATCATGACACTATCATTTGCAAAAGGGATCCAAAGGTCTAACATTTTTTAATCATTGGTAATTAAGGGAAATTATCAGAAAAGGGACCACAAGAAATAACAGGTCAAGAACGGACTTTTTTCTAGCAGTCTGCTGAAAAACTAGCAAACTATTTGTCAAGATGCTCATCATGTGTTCTACAGAGATTAACTGATGTTTGAAATAAACTACTGACAAATTATATTTTGTACAAATGTCCTGTGCATGCAAAATTGCAGCTTTTAAAGGCAGCTATATTTTGCCTCATAAACTTATTTGCCTGTCATGATACAAAATAGATTAATAGTTTCTGAAAAGCTCAAAAATATGTTTTTAAGATGTGTCAAATTATGTTGTTAAATCTCAACAAATTTACCTCAGCAAATTTTCCTTCCAATTCAAAATTACGTTCTTCTATTTGCTTTACGGTATTCCTTAAATGTTCATACATTCGCTGCGAATGTTCTGCTCTCTGTCTTTCATTTAGTTCCTTCATTTCCAACATTGTGATTTTCTTAGAAATGGACAAAATCTCGCTGTTGGTTATTGCTTTTGTGCCTTTGTCCATGGCATTGTCATCCCCTACATTAAAAATATTTAAATTAGGGAATACACAAACTGATTGAACTATGAAAATTATTTGCACCATGAAACAGAACATGAGTTTTGCTTTATCTCTGTCAGATGAACTTTATCAAAACACCTGTAACTTTTTTTAAACTGGAGGCATGGTTATCTTGCCTTACTATATGTTTGAAAAGTACCCAATTTGGTGAAAATATTATCAATTATAAATGGGTATATCTGCAACCATAGTTATTAAGACTGATAACTATTTTCAGTGTAGCTTTTCACTTTATCCTTAATTCAGCTGGTAAATCTTCAGGAAACTTAATTTAAAATCTGTAAAAGAAATAGATGTGGATGAGTTGTTGAATAACAGGAATACAAACTGTACACAAAGAAATCCTAGCTATCAAGAAAAAAATACTTCGTTACAGAGCGTGAACCCATGAAAAAAAAAAAAACATTTTTACTGACAACCTATGAAGTATTTTGACTGTCAAACAAGTTAGAAAATATTGCACCACAATTATTAAAAAAAAAACCAAAACCCCAAACAGGTGATGTTGCTTAACAGGTTCCAGCTTTTAAACCTCTATCCAGTAACCCAAGGAGAGTCAGTGTGGAACAGTTTCCAGAGGAATATATCAAACTTGGTTTTGGTCAAACAGATGAGTAACATGAAAGCAAGCAAGAAAAAAAAAAGAAAAAAAAAATCACACAAAAAAATTAAGACCCTTAATGAAAGATACAAAATAGTTTTGACTTTTTTTTTGTTGTTTTAAGATACATCCATTTTAAAATGTTTTAAAATGTTACTTTTACATAAGACATACCATTTGATTTCTAATGTTGCCATACAACTTTCATACTTGCCTAGTTTAGTCATCTGTTCCCAAGCCTGTTCTACAGTGTGAAGTTTCTCTTTTGTGATCTCCAGTTCCTTATTCAACAAATTTATTTGTGCTTTCAAGGATTCATTCTCATGCTGTATGACAAAAAAGTTACAAAATAACAACCAACCATTTAACTGTAGCAGACTTGATGTTTAGTACCTATAAAATCTTTTAAATTCACAGATTTTACCTATGCACAACCCATAATCTTCATATATGGCAACAGAAGAGCGTAAGTTTTCTCCTAAGTGTAAAAATGTTCGTCTTTGCTCTCTATGTTTTATCTTACTGTCAACTAGTATTACCGTGAACATTTATCATCAGTGATTGTGATTCCTAGAGTGTCTAGAATTAGATGAAGAAATCTATGTTTGTCATACTAAACATCTCATTAGCAGTGGGAAAGAAAGAAGTACTCCTGGAGGACATTTCATCCCGCACAGTATATTTCATCTTGCACCTAAATACATGTTTGAGACATCATATGGTTCTTTTACCTCTTTTAGGCACCTAATATTATGCCAAACATTAGTTTTGTAAATGTAAACGAAAATTTCCACATCAACCAGTAAAACAAATTGAATAGTTCATATTAATTTTAGATTTCTAATTTTCTAAACACATTTTTAGTTCGCTATTGATAAATGATTCTCTAGCTCTGTGAAATTGCTGAAATAGGCAATGCAAATTTTTATACACACACAATTTCATAAAATAGAGAAGGAATCATTCATCTGTAGCTAACACAAGTGCACCTACCTGTTCCCAAGCAGGCAAATTTAATAGTTCAGTAAGTTTACCCACCACGTGTATTTAACCCTTGTCAACCACAGAAACCCAACAGACAAGAACATGACATGAGTTTTAACCACTGGTTAAACTACTGCTTTCTTGGACTATTCTTTCTGCTATGAATGAGAAGTGAGAAGCAGTAACATATTTTGAAGCCAGCTTCACAGTTCTTGAAAAGAAGCTCCCTTCTACTTGAGAATAAAAGTTCAAAGGAATATTTGCATATTTATATTTATACATATTTATACACATTTGCAGTCCCTATGACATTTTGCAAACACAGTGTGAACAATCTTTGGTTATTTACTTTTTTTAATGGAAGTAAAATTCCAAAGGTTTACTGCCTTTTGGAACTGAACGTTTCATTCTTGTAAGTCAGGAATTAGTGAGAACGCTTACTTTGACAGAAAGCTTTTAAAGTGTTTACACTCATTCTACTTTCCTTATGACCTCCAAAACTGAAGATGATAACAAATATTCCTTCTGCCAGCCTTGTCTGAGTGATCAACAAATTAAACTTTGTAAGGAAACATACCCAGAGCTTAACTTCAAACACAAACAAACAAAACAAACAACAGAAACCACCAAAACAGTAGAACAAAATACTTTCATGTATGTCCATTGAAATAAAAATCTGGGACTTTGTGTATGTTTCTTAATCCAGTGGAAAATACCAGGTAAGCAAATTAAAATTCAATAGCAACACTAAGACTGGTTCCAACATCTCATACCCACTGCAGAACTATTATAACCAGCAGTTCTAGAATTGGGACTTCCCTTCTATCTTTCTGTTAAGTGAGAACAAAATACAAGTCAGAAAAAATGTATAATGAGGCTTTTTCCCCCTAGGGTTCCAACATAATGGAAACATTACCTCCATGTGTTCCATGTTTGTTGTCCGTTGGACGAGCAAGTTATCTTTTTGTAACATATCTCTGTATTTAGCAGTTAATGCATTATACTGCTTATTAGCCAGTTCCAGCTCAGACAATGGCACACTACCATCCAACACTTTTTGCAGAGCCGCAATCTTAAAGCTAGCCATTTCCTGTGAAAGCAATTAACACAATGGATTACTAGATCTTTAAGGTCTGCTAGATCTTTTAAGAGAAAAAACAAAATTACTCCACAGAAAAAGAACACCACTTAATATAATGCTTTAGAACATGACATTGGTTTATTTTACTGAATTACTGTCCATTTTTGTAAATTGCTTGCAATGAACACTGACAAAATTTCTCTGTTATTCCAAATGTCTCAGTAATTTTATCAAGAGTTGCCTCTCAATCATAAGGCACTGACAAAAACGTATTTTATAAAGATGAGTTAATACAGGCCCTAGCAACCTGCAAGGCCAAAAAGTAAGCTATGGTTTCATACGACACTTTCAATAAAAAAAAACTTGTTGAAGCAAATTCAGAAGGGGAAAACTGACCAGTTGTGTGTTATGCTGCTTATTTAAATACAAAGAATGTTTTGACAGAATTTGTAACAGCATTTAACATGCATTTGTGTAACGCATTCAATACACTATGTCTCCATTTTTAAAAAGTGTATTTATTGCCAAATTGTAAAAATAAAAATGTGTACTATTACTACTATGAACTATACCTTGAATCTTTGCAAGTTTCCAATCTTCTCTGTAACTGCAGTCTCTATATGTGTTATTTCATCCTTTAGTTTCTCATTTTCTTTCCTGAGATGCCGTTCCGTTTCAAGTAAAGTGGTATACTGCCTTGTTAGTGACTTCTTATGAACTTGTAAAACAGTTATTTTTCTATTATTTTCTGCAAGTACTTTTTTTGTTTCATCAGGATCCAGCTGAAGTACACTGAGTAAATTCTGTAAAATAATTTTTTAACGAACCTTGTACAAAAATATGGTAAAACTCAACTACGTAGACAACCTTTCTTGTACATTTTTAAATCTATATGTAAAAATTCCATTAATTTGTCTGAAATAATTTCTTCTTCCCAAAAAACATATACGCACCCTCAACACATGTGTAAGCATAGAATATTCTATTATAAGAAAATTTAAAAATTAAAAATTCAGAATCATTAGTTTCTGAGGAATAGAAGCTAAATACATCTGAATGATTAACTGGAATTTTAGTTAATGCTGAGATTTTCAAAATTTAGAACAAAAATAATTCTCTGCATTCACTGTCATCAGTCTTCCCTCCTTTTAATAGAATCAAAACAAATGTATTTGAACAGTTTTCTAAACTAAATAGAATCTCTGTGGTTCCTAACAAACACTAGTAATGTCCTACTTAGAGGACCAAACCAGTATATCCAGCAACCACAGGACCCCTCCTAGGGAAACATGCGTGTGTTTGTGCATATGGGTGCACACGTGTTTGCGTGCATGTATAAAGCTGAGGAGGGGCTGGGGAGGAGAGGAAACTACAGCAATTGAGGTTGAAGAAGGCACGTGAGCTTTAGCTTTACTGTTGTACACATCAGCTTGCTAAGGAGACAGGGAGTAGAAACTGGAGCTGTAAAATCCCAGATTCCTATGAGCCTAATGAAGAACAGTGAGCAGGTAGTTAGAAAACCTCCAGAGTCCTGGAAGCCCAAAGGCATGAAAAAAAAATCTAGGCAAAGATTTGTCTTTTCTGATCAAGAAGCACTGCTAACATCATAAAACTCCATTATATTTTAAAGACATTTATAAAACAAATCCCAGAAATATCTTAATCTGCTACAATTTACTCCTGTGACTCTGGAAATGCAGAATTAAGATACTGAACAAAGTAAGTAAAATGGCTTGCGCACTCTCTCTCTTTTAAATGTATAGTAGAAACATCTGCAAAACAATCTCAATTTCACTTTTCTGGAAATATATTTAGACTTAATTGTCTCAGGATACAATTGTTTTGCAAATCAATTACAGTTCTGAACGTGATTATAAGCAAGACCACACACCACTACAGTTAGCCCTCAGCGGAAGAAAAGGGTTAGAACTCAGCTGTCTAAACTTAGGCATCCACAGCCATTTTCAACACTGTGTGATATCCTTGCCCTATGTCTGCTTCTCTAAAAGGACATGTGTCCCCCATATGTCTTCTATCGTATTTGGCAGCTTTCTGTATCTGCTCAAAGACATCCGAAGTCATCTAAAATTGCACTACGTCTGTGATTAGGCACCTGCATCAATTCCAGGAACATTTAAATACCACATTCTTAAAAAGTTATGATTCAGTTTTCTTAATAGAATATTGAATGCAGTCTTGGTGGAAGTAAATCAAAATAGAGAGATTAATTCTGCTTCCTGGTTTTGTGAAACACTGAGGCATATACATTAACAGGTGTACATATATAAATAAGATGTAATTTCCAAAGTAATAACCTCAATTCTTACTATAAATTAACGTGTTTTCCATGGGGGTGCCTGCACTGCTCCTCCTCCCAATCAAACAGCCTGGATAACAACTGCCGTTAAGAGACCAGTGTGAATGTAACTAGTGTGTGGGAACAGAATACCTGAGACTGTCTGAGAAGGCATTTGTTCAAAACTGATAATGTTAAAGAGGAAGATGACCGATTGAATAGTAACCATAAAATTAGAGACCTGAAATAAATAAGCAGTCAGCTTGAAAATTAGTATAAAAGTAGCATGAAAACTTCTAACAGCAAGGGCAGAGTGAGTTATAATGCAGCACTCATAACCTACTTCAGCTTCAGAAGTTTCCCCGCTGTCCCTGCAGATGTGAACGCTTCCTCTCTGCTGGACACCAGGAGCCTTGGCACTCCAGCTAATGGACTGGTGGTACCAAGTGCAACAAGTAGAAACCCACACCTCAGG